GTTTCCTTTATTAATTCTTTTTTCCTTTTTTCACTTAAGACATCTGTTAATATTACACAGCCCAACAGATGTTGCAAAGCAAGTCCCATACTTTGTTCTAAAAAAAAAAAAAAAGACATTTCCTCAATTGGTTCTCCCTACCTCTGTGACGGGGCCTAGCCTGCCATTTCTGCATAATTTGCATATATTAAGTTACATACCTTAATGCCATACACATTTGTAGCTTCAGCATTATTTTTATAGAGTAAAGTCTGATTTGATCATAAACTGTATGTTTGTTGCTTTAGAATGAAGAGTGGCTAAAACATTTTTTAAAAATCTCCTTTGAGAATGACAACCTAATTCCACACATAGGACTAGATAGCCAATTATTAAACACTTTTCTATAAGTGAATTACAAAAGCTTGAGTTGTTTTGCCATTAGGAAGTGCTGATTGTCATGCGATGTGGAGCGTCATTTTTATTTTGGCAAGAACAGGGACAGTTTTGTCTTGACAAGCCATTAGATGAATACCAGAGTGTGTCACATGGAAAACCACTGATCTTTAACCCAGCTCTGTACTTAACCAAGCCTTGAAAATGAATAGTGAATAAAAGAAGAGCAAAGGCCAGTTTACTGTCATTACAGATTACAGAATCTGCTAACAGCTGCTGAACTGAACCCGGGGAATTACAGGTATTGTTCTGTGGACCAGCAGAAATCCTGGAGATGCCTGTGAAACTGTGTATATGAGCTATACATTTATTTTACATTTACATGGTTGGAACATAGCTAGACAAGCATGAAAATCCTTGAGTACTTTCTTAGTGTACTAAATGCTTGCCTTTATCACCAAACCTTATATTTACAGATAACTATCTCAATGAGATTTCCCTACCCCCAGTTATGGAATTTATTTTTTAAAAGCAGTGTGTTTTTAAAGAAATTATTAGTAAGTATTAAGAAGAAAACAAAAAGTATGGAAGATCTCCCCCCTCCCAAAACAAATGTAAAACCACAAACATGCAGGCTAAACAGAATCCTTTGCTCATTTGTCCCTTCAGCTGTTAACTGGGCTGATAGTTGAAACCAACATGTGACTTTTTTTTTTTTTTTGAGGGGAACACCTAAACCCACCTCAATACCCAAATAATGAAAAGATCAGTAACATTTTAAACAGTCAGTTGTGGGAATTCTTGCTTACAGAGCTAACAAGAAAGAACCCACTGTCTTACTCTGCTGGTGGAATTGCATTGTGCCTCCCTACAGTCTTGTTATCCCACACACACTGAAATGCAAATTCTTTGCAACTAATTGGATCTCATTGATGGTACATGCACAGTATGTAGTTATATGCAAAAAGATTTTTAAAAAATTCTCTGTAATTACAACTTTTAATTATTATCCAAAACATCAGCATCTATAGTATAGGTTTAAAATACATATGTCTAACGGGTTTTTTTACAGATTACTCAACATGTGCTATGAAGTGCTTAGTAAGTATCAAAAGTAAGGGGGAGATGTTTATTTACAGCAATCAATAAGTTGGATTTTATTGAAGTTCTGTGAAAATACAGTTTAAATGTTGAACATCATAAACATCAGAAATCACTTTCAAAATGTTATCTTTTTCTTCAGTTCTCCAGTCTGTTTTTACATTGTAAACTGCATGGGAGTTTCTTACTCTGCATGAGTTTTGATGAGGTGGAGGTATTCCCATTCCCATATTGTCTTGAATATCGTGGGTGCCATTTAGACCTAGTTGGTGTACTTCTTAATTTCCATGGTACATCTCTCACTATCAGTCAACGTGGGAAAGCCAACACATAGCCTTTAGTATTTGCAATTCTTTAACCTGAAATACATAAAATCGGGGCAGAAAAAAGCAATTACTGTGAAAGTGATACCTGCCTCCACTGCTACCACCCCCAATTTTAAATAACTTTAACACAGATGATTCCATATAGTTGTTTCATACTCTGCAGACTATAGAGCCAATGGACAAACTCAAAAAATCATTGTTGTGCCTTGTAGATATATTTTGTTGTTTCTTATTGTAATAAAGCTTGCTGTCTTTGTAAACTAGTCTTACAGACTAGTTAAATTTTCCTTTAATCCAATACTTTTCGCAGTACAATATCATATGATATAGATTTGTTGTGAAAAAAATATTTTGAACATTAGAAAGCTATCTCTGTAATTTTGAGGCTTGTGCCTTGACAGTAATATGCAGGTACTAGTTACATGGCAGACCTGTTTCATTGAGAGCAACCCCAGACATTGATATCTGAAATAGCTCCGTTTGCCTGCGCTAGATAGCATTTTGTCAGAAGACTGCTGGCCCAGCAGACTAGATTTGGATGTATTAGCTAGTCAGCCTAATAACCCTGTACAGACTGTATTGATTTTTTAGGAGAGAGTTTATGAACTAAATAAACTTGGGGTTGGTGTCTTAATAAACTGCTTCTCTCAGTCTGTCACATTTAGTTACGGAGCTGTGCAGTTTAGGGGGAAAAAAGGCTAATTCTGTTACAGATTGTTCACAGCAGGGTCTCCAAATTAGCCCTTTGTTTTGTAATGCCACCTTGCTTGGGCTCGCTTTGAGCACATTTCTCAGTTTTGCCCTAATGAGTTGCAACACTGATAATGTGGCTGATGATCTTTCATTGATTTCACTATCACTTGCTTGTCTGGTAATTGATCCGTTGCTGAGCCTCTAGTTAATTATATCGGCTTTGACATGGCCCGGTCCACGGGGAATTTGAAGTCTTGCAGAATAACAGTTTTAATAAAAGAGTCTATTACTGCAGGTGCTTGCTGCTGCATGCCAGTTGATTTTTGTGTTGTGTCGTGTGTGTGGGGGGGGGGGGCGGGGGGGCGGTGGAGAAGAGAGGAGAGGGGTTGGGGGGAGGATAGCAAGGAAAGAAGAGGACTGCTGGACTGAAAGAAAGAGGGGGTGGGGGCTGGAAGAAGGGGAAGAGGGAGTTAAGGGGAGAGGAAGGGAGGAGGGGGGAACTAGAGAGAGCAAGAGGCAGGCGAGAGAGAACACGCAGGCAAAGCAATACAACAGCCTGAGAGGAGCGAGGAGGAAGCATGCTATTGACAGTGTCCTTAAGCCTCCCACAAATAACAGCCATTAGTGGGAAGGTCAGGAGCTGAGCAGGCAGCTTGACTGAGGCACTGAGTGCCACTTCAGAAATCAAGAGGCTAGCAAATTTTAGAGGGAGTTTAAGTGGGTAATAGCTAGCTGTAAAGGTACAGTCACTGTTGACAATTGACTCATAGGGTCTTTTCCTGCCCTCCCCCCTCAAGAATATTTTTATTGACCACAGGTGGACTTAATATATTTTAAGGCAACAATTCTTTGGGTTCTTGTTTGCTTCTTCTCAGATATTGAATTTGCTGCTTTTGAGACTTTTTTGTGCTTAATGGTGGTGAACCGGAGGGAAGTTTAACAGAAAAGCTTTCAGGAGATGTTGGTTCTAGAGGGGAAGGCACATTTGTGTCAACATAGTGTACGTTTTCTCATCTTTTCTCATTGTCCACTAATGACACAGAGCTGCCATTGAAGCTCTTTTCTGTTTCTTTTGTTGTTTCAGAGAGTAAGGTTTATTGTTATTCTTCAGTTTAAGAAGGAGCAAGGAGAGTGGTACATTTGTCCTCGATATTTGTAGGTGGTTGAAGATTAATGTTCCTTACATTTTAAGTTTAGGAAGGATGGCTTTTTCCTGCTGACTACTTTTATGAGATGACATGAATACAGCTTTCCATTTGGAAGTCACTGTTTATGTACAGTGCATTCTGTTCAGTTCTGCTTTTCCATAAATAGGGCACGATAAATACTATCTAATACATAGATGTTTTCTTTTAAAAACTAGTTTAATTAAGAATATGACATGCTATCGGAGGTTATATTTCATCAGGCAGGAAAATGTTATAGAATTCTCCATAGAGATGTTGAATGAAAAATGGAATTTTATAGTCATTACTTTTTGCCTGAAATGGGACAGGATTTTTTTTTCTTCATCTTTTTCTTTTTTTATGATTTGAAAGGATATTGTAGATGCTTCATCCAGGAACTTTCACAAAGGACTTTTCTCTACTTTTGAACTTTAAGAAAAGGTATACTTTTTTCCTTTGTCATTCAATTTCTTATTACTTAACATCCAATTTAGTAATTAATGAATGACCTGAGGTACTGGACATTAAGTAGTATACATGTATGTATTTTGCAAATGTTTACTGTGCATCTTCCATGTTAAAAAACTGCTAAGTTTATTTACTTCCTAGAGTGTAAAGTTATGTCCCTATGTATATTATTTTCTCTTGGAGTTGAATTGTGGTTATAAATAGCCCAGCACATACTATATGACTTTTAGGAGTTAACATTTTGACAACAATTGAGCCAATTTTACATTCTCTTACATCCAACTGTTTTTCTTTCTCCCAGTATAACTAGAAAAAAATAATGTTTAAGCATAGCAGTTTACAAATGTTAAAGCAAAGGCTGATGCCAGATACTGCATGTTATACCTGGAAGCATTGTTGGGGGAAATTCCCTGGGAAGGGCCCCAGCTTCTCCTCACCCCGTGCACGGTCGGTCTGAGATCGTGGTGCTGCTTGGAGCGTGCAGAAGTGTGTATCTCTCAGTGTGTCTGGAGAGGGGTTAGTGCAGGGTGTCATTTGGTGCCTGACAGTGGAACGGTGCAGTTGACTCTTAGCTCTGCTATCCAATGACATGCAGTGGCTGAGAGTTTGAAGCTGATGGTTGGGTCTCGAGTGCTGCCTGCACACCTGACAGGCAGCTGTTAAACTGAGCAAAGGCAAGCTCGGGGAGTCACAATCTATGCATAAATGATAGGGGTATCTGTGCAGAAGGTGCGAAAGAAGCTCGGACCCCCTCCCTCCCCCAAGTCTCCCCCTTCCCAAATGAAATGCACAGTTCAGCCAGCTTCTTAACTACACTACACTCCTGCTACTGGCTGCCAAGAGGCTCAAAAAATCCACCTTCACTTTTCAGTCAGAAGAGGCAGAAGTGGATGTGAGAGAAAGAGAGACACAGAGAGACAGAGAGCCAAAGAGGGCAAGAGACTTGACTTTAAGAGACTCCTGTACTGACAACTCCATGCAGTTCGGAACCAGAACGACTGCGGCTGAACCAGGGTTCATGGGGACATGGCAAAACGCTGATACTAACCTTTTATTCAGAATGTCCCAACAGGTAAGTTACTTTTTTTTTTTTTTTAAAGAAATCTTGAATTGTTATGTGCACTTTTGTTTCTGCTGTTTTTCTTTCTTAACATTTACAAAAAAATTGATCACTTCATACTTGGGCTCTATTTTGTCATAACTGTGTTACTGGAATGTGCAGGGTTACTTCATGGTTTCCCTAAGGGCTCCTTAAAAGAAAAAGGGGGAAAGGATACTGAAGTAAAAGAAAGCAAAGGCATTTGTTGCAAAGTTTCACAGTACAACCTGGGTCAAAAGAAGACAATTTCTTTGTTTTCTGTTAAAATTTTTTTCTAAAAGCCACCACCCGACAAATGTATCTTTCTATCTGTATTAATCACTTCATCAAAGTATCTGCTATCTCAGAGGAGGTTCTCCAGCCCAACAGTGACAAAATGTAGGGCCCCCTCCGTACAGCCCAGCTGACTTGCCGGGGCTGGAAGCAGCTGGACCTCCGACCTGAGGACAGGAGGCTATGCAGGGATCGCTGCCAGCGCCCAGGGTCGCTGGAGAAGGCGGCGTGCGTGGCGGGCTGTGCCGGCCGGTCCCAGCTCCTCTGCCCGCCGCCTGCTGCCCGCCCGCCTCCGCTAGCTCCTGCGCTCCCCGCCGGCTCCGGCTCCGGCTCCGGCTCCGTGCGCCCGCCCGCCCGCCCGCCGGCGCACTCACACTCCGGAGCAGCCTCGGCGTCCTCCCCAGAGCCTCTCCTCCGTCCGGCCGAGCTGGCGGCGGCTGGGTGTGCTGGCCCTGCCGGGAAAGCTAGGTGTTAGTGCGAGGCCAGCGGCTACTGATAATTAATCACCGAGCCGGCGGCTTGTACCATGCGCTCCGTGATACGCGCCCTGCGCGCTCGGCTCCTCTTGCACAATTGCTGGCTCTGCGGCTCCGAGGGGGAGCGAGGGTGAGAGGAAGCAAAGGGAAACAACCCAGAAACTTTCATCTTGGACTGTGCTCAAGCGAGGGAGGGAAGTTCCCTGGTGCCTCCCTCCCAGACACGTCTTGCTTTTCAAAAGCCTGCACCAAACCCTTTACACAAAGCCAGAGTTAGTGTGATATTATCATCCACGCAGCACGAAAGGATCACTGACAAATACTTGGATTTGAAGCAGATGACGGTTAAGAAATTGATATTGTTTCACTCATTTAAAAAAATATAACTGCTTTCTTTAAGAAGAAAAAAACCTGTTTTGTTTGTAAGAGTTCATGAGAATGAAATATTTTATTGAATTAATTTAGGTTTTTAAAAGTATTGATAGTGAAGGAAAGAGAACAATTTGCTAGGCTTATGAACAACCATAAGTTTATAAATCCATCTGCAGAAGATTGAGCACAGAGCCAGGGTTTTGTAGCAGATCGCTAGCGAACAGTTTGATCACAGAATTCTAGAAAGGATAAATGCATTTGAATAAGGTGTATTTTGACATATCCTGTAGAGGGACCCTGATTACTGCTGATACGGTAAGCTGGGGTTTAAATGCAATCAACATAAACCCAATAAGCAACTCTGTATGTGCAGTTTCCCATTCTTGCAAGTTAAGTTCATTTCCTCCCAGAGATACTCCTTGTCTTTGCAGTGTGCTTTGAGAGGTGTGCTTCTGAGGCATATCCCTGCCTGGGTGGCTCTGTTTGTGGTTGGAACACAGTGTGTTTTCACTGACCTTAGGACCAAATAACTTGTGCCACGCTTTAAAAATTAGATGTTACCTTCAGGGTTTTGAGTGAGTTAGTGGAGGTCAGGGTGTGTGTGTGTGTGTGTGTGTGTGTGTGTGTGTGTGTGTGTGTTGAAAGGGAAAATTGGTTTAGGTCTCCCTCTAGCTAGAAAAGAGTTAATAAAACCAGATAGAGATAATGATCAATTGATAAATGGCTATTGAACCGCATAGATGGTGTTAGATTGCTTCTTTGGCACTAGCCCATTTTCAAGTAGATTTGAATCTAAAGAGACATTAAGTTGTGGAAAACATTTTAGCTTAAAAACACACAAATAAAAGTAAATTATATAAATGATGGAACAGAATTAGGAAAATAATTTGAAATCTCTCAGAGAGACTTGTACAACTAAGCTATTCTGACGTATTTGACCCAGCCATTTGATTTTGTGGATATTTAAAGGTCTATTTTGAGTGTGCATGTGTGTATGTATGTGTCATAGTGAGCTTCAGTGACTATATAAACATGGTAGAAACATAGGGAAGTAATTGATGCATAATGATGTTATATAAAACTATAATATTAATTATACTATTTACTAAACAGTAGTACAATAAAGGGAGAAATGAACAATTTAAAAAGTGTTGTGATTTAACTATATTTTGTTTCATTTTTTGGTTTTGATACTGTGAGCGACTCCCCCTTCTTTTTCTCTTCTGGTTACTGTATGTTTACCTCCTGTGCATTTTTGGAAAACATGTAAGAGAGGGTATGAATTTACACGTGTGGTGTTTTTTTCTCCTTCAGGATGACATTTTAGTTTGTATAAATATTGTGTAAGCTTAAATTCAACAATGTGTAAATCTAAAAAATATATGTGCTGTGCATGTTTTACCATGTTTATTTTCCTTAACTATAGTTCATCAGCAATGCTGATTTAGAGTGTGTGTGTGTGTATGTATGTGTGTGTGTGTGTGTGTGTGCAAGAAAGACACTTTTTTAAAACTGATATCTCTTGAATTCAACAGTTTCAAAGAATATTAGTTTCAATATAAAAAAACATTAGCCAGCTATTGTCTTACTGCAAGTAAAAGTTTGTCCAGTTTAATCAGGTATGCAAAATCCTGTATATCTTATTGCTGACAGTAAAAAGATTTTTCTATTATGATTGTATTTTTTAAGAAAAAAATAACTGTTATAGCTTTTGACATAAAATTTATTGGGTATGTTTTTTATTTCAAAGTTTTCTGTAATAACATAAAAACTTTAAGATTTACCTGATTATTTCATTAAATATTAGAGGAGACTAGTTGTCAAAATTGAGTTAAAGAGAATTCATCATCAGTATTATTTAACTACAGCACAAGTTGTAGTAGAAAAAGTGTCATGTATACTGAAATTTAATAATCTAGGTTTGTCTTTTACAGGTAAATTAGGAGGTAGAGATGTAAACATCTTTGTCTTTTGTTTTGTGTGAGTAAAGTTGAATCTGCTTATAAATCTTTCAGTCTGTCTAATACTGACAAAAAGATAGCACAATGTGAAGCCAATTTAGATTTGGTGGAATTAAGGATGTTCTCCTAAAGTTCGAGATATAACAATTTGAGTGCATTTTTCTGCCTCTCCATAGTTTTCTCCCATATTCCATTATGATTTTTTCAAAAGGGATAATTTTTTTCCATACAGACAAATATTTGATAACCCTTAAAGGGCATGACTCTTGACTTAGTAAAGGGAGTTCTTACTTGGGTTACTTTGATCAGTGACAGGCCGAGAATGACCAGAAACACTTTACTCATCGTCTCTGTTAATCTCCTGGAGTCCAGAACGTTATTTTGCCTATTTTAACCTCATGAAGTTTTTGTTAAAAGCAGAAAATAAGGCCTGCTTTTGGAAGTGTTGGGGTTTTTTTTGTTGTTGTTTTTTAAATCAGGTTTTAAGAGGTGGTTTTTCTAAAATGTTTTGTATTTGAGAGACTAGCATATAAATTTTTTTGTAGGTACCACAAGGGATGCAAATCTAATATATTTTGAAATCTTTTCAGAAATGAAACAGGTAAATGGCTGTAGCCCACATTTTACCCGTTTACATTACTAGAGGCATTTTCCTTTAATTATTGGTGAGGTATATTTAACCTTTGCAAATAAAATGTAGATTCCTTAATAAGGTCTCTTTTCAGACATGAGTGAAATACTAAGTTAGAATTATAAATGACTGTGTGCATCATTATGTAGTAATTTAGGATTCACCCAATGATGTAACACAATTAACAACATAATTTCATTGTGAAACTGTGTCTTATTAAAGAACACTGTCTGACATTCTCTTACAGTTGCTTTATTTAACTTCATGCAAATATTATTAATAGTGACATTTTTTTCTATTGTGCACTAGATTCTCTCATTAGCATGATGTGTTAGTTATCACCAGAGAAATAATTTCCTAGATAGGTGAGGGGCAAACCAAGAAAGCTAAAAATTAAATCAACGATTTACACTAATGCCAGAGCATCTGCTCACCAGAGATAGGAGAGAGTAAAGCAAACTTTCTTACTGATATAAAATCTAGCACATTTCAGAGAAATGATAAATAAAATATATTGTAAGAAGTATATAATAACATTCCTGTTCCTGGAATGAATTTTAAAGAATGTTTGATATGAAATTTTCTCCCAGTAGTCTCTTAGTTCTTTCTATTCATTTAGGCAGAGTTTCATTTTGTTGAAACTATAGTTTAAATTGGAAATAGTGGTTTTGTCTGATTTCTTACCCTATCCCCTAAATAATTTGAGTGTTTATTCACTAACAGTTTAAAAGGCACATGTATCATTTCCCCCCAGAAGTCAAGGTGTTTAATTGTTTACTGGGGTTTGATTCTTTTTGGTAGTTCATACAATATATTTTTACTCTAAACTCCATCCCACTCATGCAGACATCTCTTTTAACATAGGATGTATATTCTTATTTCATCAGAGCCCTGAGTAAAGCAGCTGCTAGTTAATGGTCTTTGAAAATGACTTTCACTGCCAGGCTTCATCCATCCCTAGGTTTCTGCACTTTTTCCTCCTCCCTTCTTACTCCTCTTCTTACAGTTGGTGTGTTTTAGTGATCATGTCTTATTTTTTTTTTAAAAGGATTAAATTGACCAAACTTATGGTCGTGATGCTGAAATAAATATTTATATTATATTAGGAGGCATGTAATTTCTGCCTGTTGCATTACTAGGCTGCTCTCCTAACTCCTATTTAGTTCCCCTCTCTAATTTGAGTGATATTAGGTTTTATTTTGAAGTCTCAACTGTAGACATATATTCAAATATAATTCTTAACATACACTCTGATAATGT